TTCAAGAACTTCCTTTGATAGCCAGATTAATAATCTCTTATGCCGCTTCCAGTTCGGGGTTGGGAAAAGCATAAAGACCTTAATCGCGGAGTCATACAGCTAATATGCACAAAAACGACGTCCGCGAACAACGTAAACAACCAAAACTCAACCATGTTAAATTCCATTGTCATTTCTGCGAGGCGGCTTCACCTTTATGCCGTTTTGTTTCCTTTAATCTTACTCAAATTTTAATGGCTGTTTCCTAGCCGACCGCAAGGCACTTTTGGTAGTGAATGCCTCCAATTGCGTCCGGGCGTTTTCATTGACGCCACCCCCTTCCTATCGTTTCTTGCGGGCTCCTTTCTCCTGGGTGCTGCAATTACTTCTGTTTGATTGCTGGTGGTCGTAACTGCATAATACAGTGCTACCATTTTCTACATTTCAAACCGTACTAGTTATTCAACAGACCGCCTACAGATTGTCGTCAATCTTATTTGCATTTTTCGCCAATAGATATACCATCATTTTTTTCATTAGTGTTTGAAATGACCTTCCACTCAATCTCACATGAACCGAAGTGCTACTTTTAAGTGACAAATTTATACTCACGAAAAATGTTGCGCATTAATCTCCACTACTGATATGCGCGTGTGACGAGGCTTCTAGTAGACACTCTTGTCTATATTACCGTTCCAGCGACCACGAGCGTTTGTAATGTTGCCCGCAGTCACTCTATTGGGACACATCAGCGAGGCAGACCACGGCGATGAAACACCTAGCTTCAGCAGATCAATTAATTACAACACAGTCATATACTGGCTCACTTACTTTGACATAAACGTTCCAATGCCGAACTTATACTTTTGATATCAACGTAGATATATTTAGCAAATAAAATGCTTGTTTGCAAAATTAATAAATAATTCTTTAGGTTTCTGATCCTAGGCCCATAGTTATATACATGGTTGCTTGAATGATTCATGGTTCGGGCACCAGATGCAAAGATCCAATTTATTTTGATGAGACATTATACTATATGCAGTCAATATAACTTTTGTCACCTCTTGATCGTGTGATGAACCAATTGAAAACTTAGATAAAAATGCCCTCAAGCAGTCAGTTGTACTCAGTCCAGCCCTGATGCTGCTGCGATATGTGCAGTGAAACACGTTGGCATTAAACGGTCTTGCCATCCACTGTATTTGGTGCCCAGAATCATGAATCATTCAAAAACCATGTTTTTGCAAAATCAGATTTGACGATTTATAATAAATTTTTTTAGCTGAACCTGAAGACTATGATGTTCGCCCTCCAAGGGCGAAGAAAGAAGTTCGAAAGGAAGCCCAAGTACCTCAGCCAATGAAAGTTGGAGAGTATTACGAAATGGAAGAGGAGATAATGAAACCTGACGCCCATTAGAAGTGATCGTCTTCGATAGATCACGTTACGGCTCAAAGCTCTGGGGCTGGTTCTCTGCTACGCGTTTTCTACGAAAAGTTCGTGATCGAATGGTGTTTCCTGAGCTGCTAGTGAACTGAGCTCGGTGGCATTATAATATATATCCTCTATGGTAGGTGTATAATATGTTTTATTGTGTGCTTCCTTTGGTGAGTTTTCTGCTGTATCAGTTCGATGCGTTTCCGTGAAGAAGTGCATTAACTGCCTTAAATATTAAAACTTCGCCCTCGTTAGTTATGCTGATGCAAAGGTAGGTTTATTGAACAACTTTTATCTATTTCTTAGTACGTTTACACAAATCAACGTCTGTAAAATTCACCATCCCAAAAGATATCACGCATAGTTAAGCCTTGCCATTTAGTTTCGTACCCTGACAAACATCTCGCAATAACCCACTACAGAAAGGATAAAGCTAATTTTAGTAAGGTGGCATTGGTGATCATGTATAAAAACAAAGAACCCTTATTTTGAAGCGCGCTGAAGGCTCACTGAATGTATCCATTTTATTTTTGTTTGGTCCTGTTGTTAAGAGCTCAAAAGAAAGGTGCAACAATTACAAAATAAGAATGAAAGGATTAGCAACTGCCACCAAAGATTAATATCAAAAACCATGCCAACCATCGAACAATATATCACATCTTTCTGAAGACGAGATGAGAGATGAATTTACAATTTTTCGAAAAATTCATATTTGCAGCTTGTACAATAAAATTACCATAGGCATTTCATTTAAGTTCCTCCTAGACTTTCCTGTTCACACCGCAGCAGTTATATATACACAAATACATAACCGATTTCATCGAGTGCCGCTTTTCACTATCTTTCGCGTCAGAGATCCGTATTCCGGTCGTACCATTCGGCTTCAACCATTAGCAGCGCCTCTCGGCATCTGTGATGATGTAGAAGGGAGGGGGTAAGCGCATCACAGTCTAACTGACATGCTACGGTAGTCGCCGTCCAACGCTTCATTAAATATTCAGCGGGGCAGACTGACATTATCTATAGACCTATGAATACTTGAACAGCATCCTGTTCCTTCTTTGAACCACCGCACTGCTGAATGGCAGACCATTGAACCAGCATTACAACTGATAGTTGTATCAAAATGCCATAAAGCTTGGTTAATGCATGGCGTTGTAAAGTAAGCCAGCTATCCAAACCTGAAAACCTACAGTTCATTCAAAGCCTGGTCGAATAAGTCATGACATCAGTTGCTTCTGCTTTTTTGGGCAATTCGAAGCCCAGCCCTGCGTGAAAATCCAGTAATCTGCTCCAACCAAAGATCCCGTAGTACCCAAAAGGTTAGGACATTTGCTATGAGTTCGTTTCATCGTGGAACTGTGGTCCAAGTATCCGGTGACACCAATTTCTTTATAGTTTAATCGAGTTCCATCTAATTCCGGTATCAATATTCTGTAATGCGAGTTTCATCTAATTTAGCAATTTGGCTATTTATTTATTACTTCATTTGCATATGCTTTTTATTTTGTTTTGAAAAGTATTCTCATTGGAACATCTTTCTGAGGCTGTAAGCTTTCTAGGTAAGGTCAAATCTTCAAGGCGATGCCCATGGGAAGATATAATGGAACTGCACAGAGATATGTTGGTTTTCTGCAAAGTAACAGGAAAATTTATGAATAACCGATCGTAAACAATATGAGGGAACTGTCAGAAGGGACAAAAATTTTAACATTGGCCAATTTGACTGGAAAACATGGCAAAATCTAATAGCGGAATTGAGTGACTTCGTAAAATAAACACACTTCTAATCCTTGGCACACCTTAGCCAGTCTAACATTGGTCGGGATGAGTCATTTCCCTCGCATGGAGTCGTAGTCGTTCTGTTCCTATTCAGTGTCATTCGTCCAGTCAGTTTTTGGAAACCGAATTCCGATCTGTGCTGGTAAGCTTAGAATGTTCATAGAAAGTTGAAAACCATATACATTTTACCTTTTATGAATTCTCCTGTTCCGCAGTGGCCTCGTACTATTCTGTTATCCAAATCTCACTTATACACAATAAATTGCCAATAGGTATGTTCGTATATTAGATGTCGTTTTCTTCTTTTATGCTTGTTTCTTCCTGTATCCTCAGTACCCTCTATTCCTTTCTTGGTAACTGGTGTTTAACATAACGATTACCCAGCACCTCTGGAGTTCGAAGAGATCTTTTAGATACTGTACCATCACACCATAGTATCAATGTTTTCCACCTTGAAAGGAACAGTGGGCATTGCAGTCGAGTGTGTCCGTAGAATTAAGCAGCTTAGCTGAACGGAAAGTTAAAACAAGGAGCAACAACCTGATCTTCATCTGCAGGTGTAACTCAGCTACCTCTGTCACTTAATTTCTCTTTCTCACGCGTTTCAGCTTAAACAGCACCGCCGCTTGTTTGAAGTTATGCATGCAGCATGTCATTGATTCCAGCCTGTCCTTCGGCTGTTCTGATTGATGGTGCAGGCTCTCAGCTAACTCGGTTCATTTTTTGAAAAAGAAGAATCCTCACAAAAGCCAGAGTACAAACAAGGAACATCTGCAAAAAATGTGAATAAAGGGGGAGGTGGCGAGGTGCTGACGAACAAGCACAATGATAACAATACGGTAAATCGCATTAAAGGACAGATTCAAAATTCAGAGTTTAATTTAAACAGGAATTTGACTTCTAGAGTCGAATAAATAATCTAAAATCAGATATATGCAACTGAAGCGATATGAATTTCAGTGAAACTGTAATTCCTTGCTTGATTTTTTGATTTAACTGCCATTGCTTTACCGTGAAATGGAATCATGTAGCAAGTAACAATGTCTCAGTTGTGGGGAAAATGTGCCTAGATTACCGTGCCAATTCGCAAATTCATTTCGCACATTTCCAAAAGTCCCAATCCAGCGTCAAAGAGACAATAGATTACACCATTTGCATGTCATCACATCTGATGGTATCCGAAGATTGAGTAATTTGTTCGCGCATTGGTATTCTTACTGTAAGATGTATAAAAACTGTTTACTTTTACACAACGGAAAAAAATAAGTTGGTCAGTCAGGTGACTGACCAATACCAATATCTTGGCTCGTCTCCCAAAGCCTTCTTCAAGGTGATTTGGGATGACATCTGCACTTGATTCTGTAGTCCGCAGCAGATGTGTTTCCTGAAGCCAAAGATTAGCTTTTAGCCCATGCTGCTGCTTAAGCAGTTTTTCAGCGATAAACTTGGTAAGCCTTGTCCGATTCGTGCAGAGTTCGTGTCCTCTGCCCCGTTTGAAATTTTTGTAGGATCGTATAGTTAGGGTTTCTTAAATTTGTCTGTTCAGTCAGTTTCTTTCTTTAAGGATGTCCGCACAATCCTACTATCGGAAAATGCGGCGCTTCTCTGCTACGTGCTACACGACCCCGAGGCTTTTTCATACTGCTTTTTAACTTTTTCAGGAGGCTTGGTTTTCTTCCTCGATTCGTTGTTGCCGCATGTCGTTCACGTTCCTCTGTGGTCATACATCTTATATAGCTTAACAGGCAATGGTTTGCTGTTTGAATGACAGTTCTTTCTGTTTCTTCTCTATAGTGTTTCCCGTAATCTCAAAGTAGTTTGTAATCTAACCTCTAATCTAAAGAGTTGTTACAATCAGAGTTGGTCAACAGTCCATTAAGTTGATTGGAGCTTTCATTTATAGTATTAACATGTTATTTAATGTTAAGTAGTGTGTGTAATAAAGAGTGCGTAAGACAAGAAATTATTTTCGGCAAAAAACAGAAGATATGCAGGAATGGCGGTGGCCTTACGCAACCAAGAAGTGTGAAAAAAATAAACAAACGGCGAGAAAACAAACAGGATCAGGACAAATTAAAGAACTTAACAAGTCGAAAAGTAAAGTAATGTACAGAAAGAGAGAACGTGCGGCGGCACGAAACACGACGCAGGTGAGGCAAAAACCTCTTTCTGTATAGGACAGAAGATCGGGCAACACCTCAGGGGCAGCTGCAGCGACGATAAATAATGTAGAGGAAACATAGAGAGAACATAAACAGCATCAAGAACGAACTGGGATAAGAAACTAACTTACGGAAACACCTGAAGAGAGGAGATTTGAAGAACTAAAAGACAAATAAATAGAAAATGACAAAGTAAAGCAACACATAGTCATTCTAACATTCGAACGTAAGCAGTAATGAGACAGAACAAAGGCAAAAAACATCATGCACGAACCACAAACAACCATTTATGGTAAAAAACAAGATGCGTAATGTGATGATGGTTACAAAAGACAGGAGTAAAACAGGCATATACTGACGTATGTAGCATCAAGGTACTTACATAAATTTAAAATTCGAACGTAGAAAAAACGAGATCGAGCAAAAGCAATGGCAGAACCGACGGACTCTAGCAGAATCGAATCTGACACCTCCGGAGTGGAAGCAGACCTTACAGTCGGAACGGTTTATGGCCATCCCTTCCAGCTCGATGGTTCAGGGCATCAATTAATTGCAACGTCAACAAGCATTGTGAAGAGAATGCAAATAAAAATACGAACGACGAGGGTGATGCTGATGGTAAGTAAATGCGTAGCCAAATGACGATTGAATCAAAGGCAGAAGGCAAGCAAAGGAAGACAAGCATGGAAGAATGGCAAATCAACTCAAAAATAGAACACAGCCAAAGACAAGAGAATAATGATGAAGCAACCCGAAATGTATATGAAAATTGACTGCTTACCGCGCGAAATAGCATAACTGGAATTGGAAACGCCGATGGATCAGAAGCCGCAGCACTTGTATTCAAACGGAGTGCCAATGATGACGTACAGTTTATTGACCGTTTCGCATTCCGCTGCTTCTGATTGGATAAAATTGTCATTAACTCTCATCTGCGAGAAAAGAGTAAACAGTAAAATTTATCCTGGATGATTTGGCACTCAATAAGTGCCTTACAAAATTACTATGCATATAAAATTTATTATGAACAAGTTCTCTAACGTTCGGGATCATGCTCCATCGGTCTCCAGAGATCGAAATATTGCAGATGCGACGTTGCAGTAATTATCTGTATATTTAGATACAGACTTCACAGTGGAGATAAATCGAGCATTATCCAAAACATTTGAAGAACTTATACATAATAAATTTTATATTAGGAGTAGTTTCCTAAAGTACTCGTCGAGTATTGAACTAAATTTCCGCATCAAATAATTCACCTCCGTTTTAAAAGCTGGATATATTGTAATACGTCCTGATAAAACATGTTGATCAAGTACAGTCTATGAAGATACGTGTGCAATTTGAAAGTTGTCGTTATTAACGTTATTTGATTATAATGGTAAGAGTAGATTTCCTACTTATGTGTAGTAATGCGTGAAACTTATATGAATCGTTATAGGTTGCGAAAGCAAAAAGCAAATCGAAGCGTCAGAAGAAGCCAAACGCTTCACTGTTGAAAGCAAAGGGTGGGAAGAAGAAGTTTTCGTTAAAGTTCTTTATCGAATGTAAGCACCCTGTTGAAGATGGTATCATGAAAATCCAGCATTTCGTAAGTATTCAAAGGGTTGCTATGGCGATTTGTTTTATTAACCGGCAAATGGTTAGAGCTCTTTCCCTTTGCCAGGCTGCCTTTTAGGGCAACTTCCCTAATAAGGTGTGCTTGACTGTTGGTTTACAGGAGAACTACCTTCGTGAACGAATCAAAGTTAACGGCAAGACCGGAAACTTCGGCAACAACATAGTCATGGAGGTGCAGAAAACGAAAATTGCTCTTAGCTCGGATGTCGCGTTCAGTAAAAGGTTAGTCGGAAACAAACTGTCTGTTATTCAAGGGCGTTTTGTGAAGGGCTGATTTTCTATTCTTCTATTTGTTTACTGATGCATGGGTTCTCTTGTTTAGAATATGGAATGACGTGAAAAAGTCAATAAGAGAAATGGCACTGAGTTTATAATATTTTCCGCTTAATTATATTAGTTTTCGATTTCCCATATCATGGTTTGCTCCCAGTCGTTTTTTCTCAATTTCATTCAATTCCTAACTCATAATCAAGAAAGGTCTTAGAAGTCGGTTGCTGTATTTCGCATCTATTTTAAGAATCGCAAAAGCGAAATTAAATTCAAGTTTATGCAGATTAATAATTCCAATAGCGAATTATTAATTCGTCCCAAAAAGGAGAGTTAAATTGAATTCCCGAAAATGTAACATACTAAAGTTAATAACCCTTAATAAGGTTTATTTTTTCAAGTCAAGTACGTAGATGTGGTTACACTGCAAAAGAAAGGCCGCTAAAGTTTCGTAAATATCAGTCTCTTGTTACTTTTGCATGATATCTTGCCCTTGGATGTTTTTATTTTGTATATTAAATGAGCATCCTGTTCTAATTTCTGTCTTTGTAGATATTTGAAGTACCTGACCAAAAAGTACTTGAAGAAGAACTCACTCCGCGATTGGTTGAGGGTTGTTGCTTCCGCGAAAGACACTTACGAATTGAGGTACTTCCAGATCAATGAAAGTGAATCAGAAGCATCTGGAGATGAAGAATAGGTTTGCAGATTTTCGAGATAGCTGGTCGTTTTTGTTATCTTTGAATATAAAATTTTTCCATTTGCTTCTTCTGGCTTTGTATTATTCCCATTAACGGAGTCAGCAACTTGAGGAATGTTGTATGAGTAAATTTTGTACTGAAATTCATCTTTTTTAAAATACAACTCGACGCCACCCTCAAAACTTTGCTATTTAGCCTCGCTGTACTATCTTTCAAATGATTAGAGTTAAAGACCTTGTGTATTAAAATATAAAATAATGTATAACAAACTGAAATAGGCCGGACACGTTATGCGTCGAGGTGACAGCAGGTGGATCTCGTCTAATGAATGTTATCCGATAGACGAAAAAAGTACAATGAGCCGACTGCAAATGATGCTTGAATCTCTCATATATGTGTGGTTAGAAAGGGGAAAATGTGCAAGAGAAAAACCGTGGTTCAGGTGTACAAATCGGCAAAAGTAATGGAGACATTACTCGGTCGCTGATTCAATGTGCAACCGTTTAATTCGAGTTAAGCCAAATGTGCTGTCTTCATTATCTAACAAGTGTTACACTTTCTTTGAGATAGGAGTGTTCCAAAACTTTGTCATGTGGCCTTTTCATGGACATTTGTAAATTATTCTGAACAAGGCTTATCAAGCAGGCATCGATTACGAAACAGTGAGTGAACAAAATAAAATCTTTAGTCATTTAATAGAACCACAAGAATGATCTCAAATACAGATACTATTTGAAAAGGCTGATAAAACTAATGACGAGAAGAATTTTCAAACTACGAATTTTCGACCTACTGCAAGCTATTTTGCTCTAAGATACACCTTGCGCCATTTGTGTTACGCAGAAACAGGGACTAACTTGCAGCACGAAATAAAGCCTTGAAGCTGAAATAAACTTTTCTCGAAAATTCTTATAAGCGAGGGTTGTTAATCAGCGAACTCGGGTTAAATTGACCCCGCCTGGATGGTGATACTATTTTTTTGTTTACAAACTGACCTAACATTACTTAGTAAAAGATGTAACATTAGACAATTCGTTCAGCAGTTTTCGAAAACTTAAAATGGTGTTCCTTTTCAGCATGACAACAATAATAAAAAAGGAACGCCTTTTCAGGATGCTGAATAATTAAATACAACTTACTAAATATCGAATTTTGAGTTTATGACTGTTTTTTTGCATTATTCTTAATTACTTGCGGTCCGACTGAGTTTTAAAACTGAACTCAAACAAAGATTGAGTTCATTGTTCTAAAACAACTGGAATGCTGTTATTCAAGATATTCATGCCAAGGTGAACCTTCCGTGTATTTTTAAGATATGCTGCAACTACTGCAGTAAAATTTACATAACATCAGAATTAAGAACGTTTACGATGTCAAATGTACTCTGCATAACAGGTCTTCGCTGAAGAGCACAACACATCAGTGATATGAATGTATTAGAACTGACAACGCATCACTCTTTCAAGACCAGATTTCACGGTTTGATGCACTGCCCGTTGCTCCTATTTGCCTAAATGAAGCATTTAGGCACGCCACGGTCTATGAGCGCCTGCAGTGTTAGATGCATCTCGCGTGAATTTATTGTAAGAACACCTCTTGCATTACCAACGATTTTTTATGAGCTGGTGTTCCTTATATGCTACCGCCAAAGCAACAATATTCTCATAAGCTGAAGTACGCGAAATAACGCACAAATCTTCCAGGGCCAGATTTCATGGCGTACTCCTGTTGCTCCTAGTTGCCAACGAAGCCATTAAATTTTCAGTGTCAACAGATAACAATTTCTCACAGAATTTATTTGTATTTTAATATGCAAATATTAAAGGTACATTCGTTATCC